ATTCTGTACAGTCACGCATTGTAAAGGATACCTGAATTATTTTACCTTTATTACTTACTCATTAACAACAATTATAATAGTAAAGGCACTTCTTCTTTACTTTAGCAGCGCACGCACGCCGCACGCTCGCAGCCGCCCACTCGCCCGCCCACACTCGCGTGCGTGCGTGCTCACACTTGCCTGAATTTGCCTGAACACGCGTGCGCGTGCACGCTCGCGTCAAACACTATAATTACGTATAAATATCGAAAAATAAATAAAAAAATAAAAATTCTAAAATTCCAAAAATTCCAAAATCCACCTCCACATGCATCCTATTCGCCCCATTCCTATCGATCCTCGGCGTCCTCAGCCAATTGTCCACGTTCGGATGCTCAACGTTACAGACCACGTACGCTCGTCGATTCTCGATGCCTTCGGGCCCTCGGTAAGTCTCTTCCAGCCACTATTATATTATTATTATTATCATTATATACAATAATAAATAATAATAAATAATAATAATAACAATAAATAATAATAAATAATACCAACAATAAACAACAATATATAATAATAAATCTAAAAATAATAATAATAACAATCATTATTTTATCACCCAAGCCNCCCAAGCCATTCCATCCACACCCCCACCCATTTCCACAACTAACAACTCCCAACTGCCTATTCCCACCACCAACTGTGAATAAATCAATTTCATTTTTTCTATCTCTGCCGCTTCCTGTTTTCCCACACTCTTTTTTTGCCATCAACCATTAACCATTTCTCAGCATTCTTCCTATTGTGCCCTACTATCTCACATTATACAAGGGTAATGGGTTTAAAAATCAATTCCACTAATACATACACACAATAAAAAATATACTAAAGTAAAATGTCAATAATAATAATAATAAATAATAATAAAAATAAATAATAATAAAAATAAACAAATAACAAATCACACAATTATTTCCTAAGCTTCCCCAATTCCCTCCAATCACTATAATTACATTACATTAATCCTGTTCCCTTTTGTATTCTCCTCTTTACATTTAAAAAATACACTTTCCAAATCACATTTTCTATCTAAAAATCCCACCAATTAAAAAATTCCCTAAAAAATTCCCAAATACCCATAAAAATTACTCAAAATACATCAAATA